CCAGTCTGCTGGCGAGCTGGAAAGGGAAAGGGATGGCCCCCATCAAAGAGCTTCGGCAGGCCGCTGGCAAAGCTGCTTGGCTGGCAGGGGTGCTGCCGAGAACAAGGTGGGCTTCACGAATGCTGTATGCAGCGTTGCATGACAGAATTGGGGACATTGCTTCTGGCAAGGAGGAATTGCGCCGATCTACGCGTTCAGACACTAGGGCCAAGGATCATTTGTTTCCTATCGCCCGCTTGAACCAGGTGCACCTCTGGCTCCTCGAGCTCACTAAGGCTGTGACGCAAAAACCTCTTCGTTGCCTTTCCTTGTTACCGCCAGAGCAGCTTCCCCAAGTGATCATCACCACGGACGCCTCCCCTAAAGGGCTTGGTGCCATCATGTCGGTCAATAGCGTGGTTACCAAATACTTGGAAGCTATAGTCACTCCCGATGATGCAGCTTTCCTGAAGCTGGAGTTCGGTGAGTCGAGCTCACAGGGACCTTGTGAAGCGTTGGCGTTGTTGGTTGCCATCTGGTGCTGGAAGGACAACCTCACCGACAATGTGGCTCTCAGCGTTCGCTCTGATTCCATTGTTGCTTTGGCGCTGTCGGACAAGTTGGCCAGCCCGAGCGCCGTGCTGAACCTCATTGGCGCAGAGCTCGCCTTCCTCTTGGAATCCTTGGAGATACAGGAGCTCTCAGCCACACACGTGCCAGGTGCCGCCAACAAGGTGGCGGACTGGCTTTCACGGCCGCATGAAAGGAAGGAAGATGACAAGCCTCTCATCCTCAAGCACGCCAAGGGCACCAAGGTGAATCTTGGGGCAGCACGGGCCAAAGGGCTGTTTAAGTTCACGCGTGACATCACACAGAAACTGTGTGTGTGGCAACACCTGCTTTCATGATTTCCAAAAGGCTGTTTGTCTTTCTGTAATTGCTGAGCGCATTCGGCGCTTCCTAGTGTTGTGTGTTGCACTGATTCGTGACTTCACTGCACGCATGCTTTCATGATTTCCCAAAAGGCTGTTTGTATTTGTAATTGCTGAGCGCATTCGGCGCTTCCTAATGTGGTATGTTGCACTTGATTCGTGACTACGCTGCAGCTGTCGTCTATTGCATCAGATATCATCACTTTGCTGAAGCGGCAAGTCCTGTCTCTCTGTGTGCGCAGGGGGCTTTGCGGCTTGCACACGTCATATCGTTGGTTGCGCGGGATATCTCACCTCACTGAAACGGCAAATACTATGGCTCTGTGCGGGCAGAGCGCTTTTCGCGCTTCTTGCTGCCGTTGCCTGTTCACGTCCTGTCGTCGGTTACATGAGGCATCTCGCAAGTTTTGCCCAATGTCAGGTTTGCTGCCATTGCTTAGAAAGTCGGGCGCGCCGCGCCCACTGGACCAACATGGCAGTAGCCTAAGAAGGTTGCTGACTTCGCTCGCGGCAGTGCCAGGGGGGAGATCAGTGGGCGAGCGGTTTGCTGAAGGACCTGCTGAAGGGCCTGCTGAGTCGCCCCAGGGCGCTGCTGACGAAGCCTCGAGCCCAGTACGGGGTTCGGCAAAGGAAGGGCGCAGCATCGGCTCGAATGTTGGGGAGAAGGGCCGCAACACGGACTCCGACCTTTTGGTGGGCGATTTGGACTGCTTCAGGGTGGAGGGCAAGCTCGCGTTGTTGGATGCACCGTGGATGGGAGGTCCGGACACGAGTGAGCCACAGGACTTAGACGACCCAGCAATCAAGCCAGCATCAATCTCCCAAGGGTTGGATCCATCGGTCATCCGGAAGGTCCAGGAAACGCAGGGGTGTCGTGACTCAGCAGAGGACGTTGGAGGTGCATGGGGCGATGGCGGCTTTGGTTACATAGAAAGTGATGCTGGACTTCCTTCATTGAGATCGGCCGCGTTGACTATCAATTTGACTACAACTGTCGCAGAGGAGAGCCGTTCGGGACTTGGTTCCTTGCTAGCAAACGCAAAGGCCATGGTCGCTACCTCATTCCCACCAGTGCCCCCGAGACCACCTTCGTGGTCGAGGGTCGTCTTGCAAAGCAGTAGGCTGAAGAAGCTTAGAATCGATGCAGATCGTGATGGCAGCGAAGGTCCTGGCCCGGGGCAAGAAGGTGTCAGTTCGTTTCAGGTGGTGGCTTCGGAGAGGGCATCTTCCGAGATGTATTCGCGGCCTTTTCCCAGTACAGCTGGTCATCATCCTAGCTCATCACTGCGGACAACGAAGACAAAAGCCTTGGCCCGAGCTGAGCTGGAGTCCAACCTAGCCTTGAAGGACCTGCGGGAAGATTATTTTGCAAAAACGTCCAGGGCGCCAAAATCGTCACGGAAGTCTAGCGTCTTAAGGATTGCAGGCAGACTCAATAAGGGCAAGCCAGTGTTCCCATTGGACCGCAAGCTGCTAGAGAAGGTTGCGGCGGTCTACAAGAGGGCGAATTACAAGTCAGGCTCCGCTTACCTCCTCGAACTCAAGCTCGCGCATGTGGAAAATGGCGGGGCTTGGACGGATCAGCTGGAGAGAACAATGTGGCTATGCAAAAGGAGCTTGTCACGAAGGATGGGTCCGCGTAAAAAGGCCAAAGAGGTGACGTTCGCTCAGGCAGCCAAGAAGCCTTCCCCAAAGAAGGGTCGGGCAGCGGCGGCTATCCACAAGGTCCCAGGCGCCAAGGAGAGCTACTTCTTCGCAGCAGTTTGGATGCTCCGGGAGATCGAGCTGAGCAACTTGGAAGTTTCAGACCTGTCCTTCCCAGGAGGCGGTGTAGTCAAACTCTGGCTAGCGGAGTCGAAGATGGACCCTGAAGCGGAAGGCACCCTTAGGACTCTGCAATGTGTGTGTCAGGGCAAGTGCAAAATCTCCTGCCCGCTTAGCACATCAAAGAGGGTGGTCAGATTAGCGGAGGAGCGCACTACACCACAGCCGCCTGATGGCAACTGGCTTGTGGTCAACGCCTCCGGGAAGAAGGCCAAAAAGAAGGAGATCGTGAACGCTTGGAAGGCCCTCTTCGGCAAGGAGGTCACAGGCCATTCGGCTAGACGATCAGGAGCGCTTCACTATGTGAGGGAGGGCCACGCCTTGGACCAAATAAAACACCTCGGCAGATGGAAATCTGACGTCATCCTTGAGTATGCCAAGGAAGCTCTGGCAGAGAAGCCGGCACTATCAAACCATTCCAATCCAATCAAACCTGTCTTAGATGTGCAAGTCCTCTCGGACAAGCTCCTGAATGAAGCGGCAGAGATGCGGAACGATCTCAAATTAGAACTCGAAGCCGTGAAGTCCCTCCTGAGCAAGACCAGTGTGTCCGAACGCACAGAGCCCCCACAACTCCAAATCGTTGAATCCAAAGGCCTCAAGGTGAGGTCTCACAGAAGCGGCATCATCCATGACATCGACACACTGTTTGAGAACGAGACCCCCCATCTGTGGAGGACGAAGTGCGGTTGGCCCTTCGGCTTCGCTAACTACACGTTTGTTGCCGCTTCATCTTCAAAAGGTGGATGCAAGAAGTGTGCATTGGGGCGCGCCTTCGGCAACGAGGTGGAGTCAATTGGGCGCGAACCTGTCAAACTTGGGACGGTCTAAGGGATCCAAGGCATACCTCACGCATCCAGCAAGAAAAGTTCGCTTCTCTTTTCCTTGGAGGGTGGGAGGGACTGCTGGCTGACAGTGTGAGTTGTCGCGCAATAACAAATGTGCTGGCGAAGTTGTTATGTAGGACAATTCACGTCAGTGTTGGGGGATGGCGGCCTATAGTGCTCGAGTGGGTTGTAGCCAACCGAGCATGAAATTTTCCCACCCACCACTCCCAAGGTGGAGTCAATTGGGCGCGAACCTGTCAAACTTGGGACGGTCTAAGGGATCCAAGGCATACCTCACGCATCCAGCAAGTAAAGTTCGCTTCTCTTTTCCTTGGAGGGTGGGAGGGACTGCTGGCTGACAGTGTGAGTTGTCCTGCTTGTAATCCTACTTGCACGTGTACAATTCTGTATTTGTATGCCACTGTATTCTGGCCTGGTGCTTGATGTATTAGACCGTCTAATTAGACCTGTGTTGAGCTTCCGGCAAGAAGAGAAGTGTAACAGTGTAACGTGGGCTCACCAGTACCTCCAAAACTTGCTTCAGGACTCTTCAATGGTCCAAATACCCAATGACGTCAAAACTCTGAACGCAAGAACGGTTAGCGCCAGCCATCTCCACCTTGGTGCTCGGACGCCAAGCAACGGCACAGGATGGCCCCAACTTTGAGGCAAGTACATGAGGAGTCTAACAAGACTTGTTGATCTGAACTAGCAGGTTTCCGTGACCCCTGCAAAGCCAATCGGGAATGATTCTCTTCAAAAGCAGGTTCAAGATGAACAAAGCCAAAGGGCGTATGTACGACCAGCCGGGAGACATTTAAAGCATCAGCGACCTGTTCAGCCCCGCGCGCCAACGAAGCACTGGCTAAATGACACCGAACAATATTCCGAAGGGTCTGCTGGCATTGTGATACGTACAGGTGCACCTAGCAGGTGCTTTATCGATTCTGACGACCGTCGTGTTATCACCCAACGCGTTTGTCAGTTGGTAGTACGTTGCATTCGTTCGACCGAAGATGCTTGCAAGGATTACGCGGGAGCCCACCTGTCGACGTGTCAACAGCAATGTTTCACGTGTTGGTTTTGGGCACCATGTGGCTTGCGTACCAGTCTTGATCGCCAAGCACGGATGTTCAGAGTTCGCGTGTTACACTTGGATGAGATGGAAGTGTACCGTCTCTCATCTTACACAGTGTGAAGCGATCCCAATTTCCACTTCTATGAAGCGCCAGCGGCAACAGCGATCAAGATTTCATGCGATTGAAAGGGAGTAGCTTTTTGATCATCCAAGAGAAGAGTGTGATCTGTGGAAGGAGCCGTTTCGCATAGGCTGCATGTGAGTGAGTGTGGGCTGAATCAGCGTAGTGTGAGCTTGCTTTAGGTGGCTAGGCAAATGAGGTCAGCGGGGCGGGGAGCTAGGTTGGTGCCCTTTTGCCAGGGACCACAGCCCTGCTGGCTGCGCTCCGAGATGTGCAGAAGGCTTCAGACGGCATTCAAATATGCATGACGCAAAGTTCATGGTAGTGTGCTGGCTTTTTGTTTGTTTGTAAGGTTTCACTTTCATCGTTATGTGATCCACAACTTACTTTACAAACAGTTGCCAGCGTTCGAGGAGGCTTGCAATGTGCAGAACCCCACGAAACCTACTGGCTTTAAGTTAAGCACTTTGCTGAGTGTCCTTCTGCTCACTGGCATCAGGAAAGTTTGCTTCAGTCACGCATTCCAGGGTTGCCCTTGCCACCTTTGTCGAACTTAGTCCATCCTGTACTGCAATCATCAACGTTGACACGTTATTCTGTCCCCAGCTGTCTTGACAGAGATCTTCACGGTCTGTGCATTGGCCAGATCCTTGTCGAGCTTTGCGTCGAGAGAAATGCTATCGACACAGCGTGCGCGAAGCACCGTGTTGGTGGGTCTTCCTGGAGCAGCTTGAGCAGCAGGGCTGCAGCGCTGCATGAGTGGTGCGCGCATAGGTACCCTGCGGCCAGACTTGTCTCGAAGCTACTCCGCAGTTCGACTGCGGACGCGGAGGTGAGCATTACAGTCCGGGATGGGTTGCAGCATGTTGCATCTGTACCGTGTCGCAAGATCATGGACTCGTCTTGATCAGGCTCAGCAGATCGCATCTGAGCTGACTCAAGCGGTCTGTTCAGCTGGAGCCCGAAGTTGGGAGAGCTCCTTCGCAGGAGCAACCTACCTTGGTGCACAGCTCCTTCCAAATCGGAAGGAGCTTGCGGCTTCCTGTGAAGCCTTGCGGATTTGATTTTTTCCAGAAGAGGGTGTTGTCAAGTCAACAGCGTCATGTCAATTTTTTGATATGAGGCTAAAAATCTTGATTGGTTGGTGCGCGGGGAGTTGGCTAAGGCACGCTGAAGGATGCAGTAGAATTGCCACGGCGCACCTTGTCTTGGCCAGCTCGCAGTGCAGGCAGTTCGAGCCGTTGCTGAGAAACGCACTATGCAGTTCCCCATGCGGGGCTCCTGGCACACATTGGCGACGGCTCAGCCTCACTGTACATCTCCAGGCCCAGTGGTCTAGATGGGCACCAACTGGAACAGGCCAAATTTTAGACCATGCGGTACTGAAAAAGTCACTTAAGAGAGGATGTGCCGTGAATTCAGCTTCACCTGCTGCATGTCTCTTGATATCAGGCCTTGCGGACATTGGAGGCACGTGCATAAATCGAGGCAGATGCTCCAAATGATGGCTGGCAAATGGCTGGGTACAAAACCAGGAGCCTGGGCACTACCTTCAAGACGGGGCAGAAGCCCTGGCTTGCTTTGGCAAGTTACACTCTGCAGCTGGCCTTGACCTCTCAGGTGATTGCCTAAGGAAAACAATGCACAAGGCATTGTTCGGCACGCGTCAGTCTTGAAGAACCACAAGATAGGTTTCTTCATGTTTTACAGGATGCCACCATCGATGCCTTAGCTGCGCAACCCTCGGCTTGAAAGCGACGTGTGCTCGCAGCTTTGCTCGTTGCTACCCAAACCGTTTGTTCCTAGGTGCCAAGATACAGAGCACCTCGCTGAGGTATTTGCACAAGTCGTAGCATAGCCGCAGGTATTCAACAGTCTTGCCAGATCCTCTCATGTAATCTTTCTGCCCTCAAATGCTAGCTATGCTTTCAACAACCGCAAGTAATCTCGTTTGGTGCTCACGATTATTTGACTGCTGGCGTAGAGGACACTGGCGCCGCCAAGCTTGCGAGAGCTGGTGACTTTGTCAGGCCTGTTTGCTTGCCCTTGACTTGCTCAAGTTGCCACTAGACCTTGAGGACCCATGTTGGCACTTGCAACGTTGTCATCGAAGAGTGACTGCATCGTGGCCATTATCACTTGCCAAGCGCCTGTGTACAGTTCTCGTGAACTATGGCATGTGTTTTTTTTTTTCATGGCTTTTTTCATTTGCAACTGTCCAAGAGGCGCTTGCAAGATTGGGAGTGACTTTGCCCTTTATCCTTTTCGGGCCGAGATGCGGCACTGAGAATCTCGACCACTTTCCTGCCATGGAGCAGCCTGGTGAGCTCAGACATTTGGGCGATTCCATGCACACATGAAGGGACCCCTGGTGTCGTTTGTGTCATGTCTAAGATTCATACTACTTGTTGGTTTGCTGTCATGTGCATGGAGCTTTTGCTCTCCACAATGGAGGCGAATGCGGGAATTTACATTTGAGGTTGAGATGCAGAGCTCTGTTCTGCCGTCACCAGACAAGGAGGAAGCATGTGTTGTTACTGGCTGGCAGGACAGAACAGCAGAACAAGGCACAACACAAAAAAAAGGCTTTTGGCTTGCATGCAGACGTAGTCAGGTCTTCTCTCAGGCGGCACGAAGGTGCACTGCCAACGCCCCCGCGGGCTGCTGGCGCAGGATGTTGCTGGATTTTGTATACAGCTGCTTGGCTGCAGACTTGCCCTACCAGGAGTTTGCTGCTTGCTAGTTGGCTGATTTGGGAACTCTGGGGGCTCGCTCCCTGCTCCACAGCTCAGGTCAATTCGCACGCAGCTCCTGTTTGCCTGTATCCTGTATCACCCTAGCTCCAACAGCTGATTATCGCATGCGGAGCATGCTGAAATCTAGTTTAGCTTTCATGAGTTACAGGGCCACATTACCAATTCCAAGCATAGACGAAGGTGTACCTTTTTCCTTCACGAATGGCCCCTTTTGGCAGCTGGCTTGGAGTGTTTCAGCTTTCCATCTTCGGACAAGCGTCTGGCATGCTTCATGAGACTCGTCACAAGCGGCCGCAAGGTCCCAGGCATGAATGTCTCCATAGCACAGCACATGCCATCAACCTGTTACCTGCCAGCCTTGCGGTCCTGAATGCGCTCTATGCGCTGAAAACCCCGGTCAAGTGCGTTGCAGCCGTGGGTTGGGCTGCCTTGACTCTGAGTGGAAGCCCTTGCCAGAATGCATCAAACTCTCCAGCTTACTTGTTGGAGAGGCTATGGAGAAATGCAACCATAAAAGCTAAGATGCGACTGCAGACCCGCAGTGCTAGCAGCTAGCAGGCATTACACCCTAGTCGGCGTTCATGTGTGTGCCCGAGCATCGTCAGACATTAGAGCTCCCACCCCTGCCAAAGCAAATGACTCAGAAAGTCTGCCGAACTTTGAAGCCGTCGCCATCTTCCAGCCGGGCACGAGAGACCAAATAGGGAACGTTAGATTTTTCCCAGACTTTGAAGGCATGTTTCTGAAACGATGCATCAGGCAAGTGGCGTGTGAGTGTAGTGGTCGAATTAGAGCAGGAGCTTCAGAAACGAATTGCGGACTGTGGCCTCCCTGCTTTGCGTCCAACAGACTTAGCTGGAGCCGCCATCCGTGGACTCCGTGGATGGGGAGCAGGGCATCGGGACAGCCTGGGCAGCAAGCCTAAGCACAGGTCAGCGCCAGCACCATAGTCAGACTTCAGACCGCTGCCACTTCAACCGCTCGCTTCCGCGTTGGAGCTCAAAAGACGTGTTCCAACTACTGTGCTGCTGCTCCCACTCCAGGCTGCAGCTTGACGGGTGTGGACCAATGCTGCTGCTGCCGATGGTGACAGTTTCGCAGCCATTTTCCAGAGTAGATCGGATCCTGCAGCGGGCAGGTGAAGCCATGGTTGCCTGTCACAAATTAATCGGTCCTATTGAATGCAAGTAGGCTCAGAGCAGTAGCAATCCCGGGCTTCTGCATGATTGATTGTCTTCCATGCTACTTTCACAGTTTTCCACACTTGCCTTGCAATTGCTGGATGTTTGCAATGGTACTTTCCCTGTATTCACTTCCATTCTAGCCTAGATTTTCCTCCAATCTTGTAGATTGTAATCCACCATTCATGGCTACTGCCTCCGATGGCAGCCAACCACCTGCGCCGACTGCAGACGA